TATCGTCGTCTTCTCCCAGTGCAGGATGTCGAAGGCAAAAGTTCCGGAAACCTGCTCTCCCGATCACCGGTTCACTATAACTATGATTAGGAACAGGTTGAAACTCACCTATATGGTCGGGACTTCCACCCAAGTTCACCGTCACCATCTCAATACCCTTCACGACCTGAGCCTTGAAACATGTGTTACACGCCGTTCCACCATCCTTCGTGTGGCCATAACCACCTGGTGTGCCATGTCGTAAGGGCATTCATAGTGCGTCACCCTTGTATGAGAAGCCTCAGAGTGCCATGTAGGTTAGAGCTACAAGTCCAAAATCTGAATTCTTCACGGTGCTAGTGGCTCTAGGAGTGACTTTAAATTTTATATTTCAGCTCTTTAGCCCGTTTTGTTTCTGTTCTCATATTTTCTTTAATTTGTGTGGAGATTCAAAATTTGCACTGAACACACTAGAATCCAGAAAAGAGTATAAAATCCTCCCTTCCCCCTCTCTCCCTTATCCTGATGGCCACTCCCTCTCCTCCCCTCATGCTAGCCACCCGACCGACACCTCTCCCCCAACTGGCACCTCTGCTCCCCCAGTCGACGCCCCTGACAGGCCTCCCTCATCTCCTCCCCTAGCCAATTCCCTCCCGCCGGTGCCTCTCCTCCCCACCGCCAATCCCCATGTCGACAAGGTCTTGGTGGCGTGCGTGCGGCACGGATCGAGTCTGGCTTCCCCAACCCCTCCACGAGCTTTCAATCCTCCTCCCTGCCACCGCCGCTGCCACTTTCCCCTCCGCATCTGGCAACGACCTCGAGGCTGGCCATGAAGCTTCGATGACGACTAGATTGGGACACCGGCGCGTCATGGCCACCCTGCCTTCCTTGTAGTGAGCATCCTCCAGAACATGGCGGTCATCGTCGAGCTCTCCGGAGAAGCGGGAGATGGTGACAAGGTCGGTGGCGGGCATCGGGGATGGCAATGAGCCCTGCGGCGGCGCGGAGCTGAGGGTCGCGACCGTCTTGGTAGCGGGGAGAGGGAGACAATGGCAAGCTTCTTGGCGTGGCGCGAAGCTGGGACAAGGAAGATGGGGGATGACGGGCTCCCTCTCTAGCCACCGAGACGACCATGCTTTCCTCCATCTCCCTTCTCCCTGTCCTTTCCAAGACGACACGGGCAACAATGACACGCAGCGAAGCCACGCTCTCCAGAGCATGTCTACTGCATTCTCTCCCCACGCCACCAATCCTCGAATGGGCAAAAGAATGGAGGACCATCTTTGGTCATGTGGTCTTCAATTTGGTGGGCCCACCCGCAAACGTGGCACCAAATTGCATAGAAACACCGATGTGGAGAGTTCGGGCCAAACAACAGCGTGATGCACTATGAACACCCTAAAAGACCTCCCATGGCCTCTGTACCCTGGCGACATAAAAGATCTCCCATGACCTTCACGGGACTATATGGAGCCCTGACACCCTAAGTTCTCTGCCCATGTTTGCTCTGCTTCGTGCAGAGGAGGTCATCTATTTATACCCTTAGGTCCTGGTAAGGACTCGTAGAGTTGGACCCTGTTTACATGGGACTAAAACTTTTAAATCCCTATCATATCGGATGTTTGGACACTAATTATAAATATTAAAGAGTAAAGTCTATCACCGGTCCCTAAACTTGTACCGCTGTGTCATCCCGGTCCCTAAACTCGCAAATCGACCGTTCAGGTCCTCAAACTTGTTCCATTGTGTCATCCCGGTCCCTAAACTTGCAGATCACTCGTTTAGGTCCTCCAACTTGTTCAGTTGTGTCACCCCGGTCCCTAAACTTTGATTTGAATATCATCTGGGTCAAATAGGACGGTCTAAAGACTTTATATTTAAAAATAATTCATAACTTTTCATGTGAGCTCTAATGAAGATAAACTTTATATCAAACTTGTAGCCCTCGACGCGATCTACAACTTTGTAGTTGAATTTTTTTTATTTTAAGTCATTTTTTTGTCCCAAAATGTAATTTTAAAATTAAAATTTCAAAATCTATAAACATGCAACAATATTTTGGGACCCTAAACAGTTTTAGTTCAAAAACTTTTCAACTACAAAGTTGTAGGTCGCGTCGAGGGCTACAATTTTGATATAAAGTTTGTCTTCATTAGAGTTCACGTGAAAAAGTTATGAATTATTTTTTGATATAAAGTTTTTAGACCGTCCTATTTAGGGACCGGGGTGACACAGCTGAACAAGTTGGAGGACCTAAACGAGTGATCTGCAAGTTTAGGGACTGGGATGACACAGTCGAACAAGTTTGAAGACCTGAATGGTCGATTTGCGAGTTTAGGGACCGGGATGACACAGTGGTACAAGTTTAAGGACCGGTGATGGACTTTACTCAATATTAAACGTAGACTATTAATAAAACCCATCCATAATCTAGGACTAATTCGCGAGATGAATCTATTGAGCCTAATTAATCCATGATTAGCCTATATGATGCTACAGTAAACATTATCTAATTATGGATTAATTAGTCTTAAAAAATTTGTCTCGCGAATTAGCTTTCGTTTATATATTTAGTTTTGTAATTAGTCTATATTTAATACTCTAAATTAGTGTCTAAATACGAAGACTAAAAGTTAAGTCACTGCATCCAAACACCACCCTAGATTTGGAATTCTCTTTGACGGTCCTGGTCAAATCTTTACGATCTTGCCAAACAAGGTCTTGTATTCCGTATCCGTTGGGACTGGTATCAGGGTTCACCGTACCGCCGATAACCGCGCGGTTACCGCGGTTACCGGGCTTACAGCGGGGTACGGTAATATAAATACTGCGGTAACCTCCTTAAATTCAAATAAATTTTAAAAAGTAATTTAAATTTTTGATAAATTTTAATCGGTTTTGTACGGTTTTTCACGGTTACCGCGCGGTAACCGTGCTTACCGCCAGGGCGCGGTAACCCCGACCCTGGCGGTTTGGGAAACCCTGACTGGTATATCTGAATATGGAAATCATTTTCATAGAAGTACTATCTTATTAAGTCATGCGTTCTCATGACTATAACTTTTGTCTCTATTAAATATATATTTATTTTTGTTTATTTAAGTATTTGTGAAACATGGTTCGTTGTAAATATAGCTATAACATAATAGATTCATTTTATTTGCAAATAACGGTATTGTTATAACAACAAATATTTTGCCAAATATTTTTAAGTGTGTCTTTTGTTGTACTTTCTCTGGTCGTTAATGTTTGATACACTGATATTTTCTGCATGGAAAAAATATAGATTTACTATATCCATGTTGTTTTACGGAATTTTCTACAGTTCTATGTACCTATTTCGTCCTACCAAATTTCCTATATTATATGCATGTTGTTGTTGGAAAAAAAACTACACATATATTGTTGCATTTATTTACCTAAGTCATGACTCATGAAAAAATACTTAAGTACTCTGTTTATTATAAAATAATTTTGTAAATTATTTATATAAAATTTTACAATAGCATAATTTATTATAAGAAGTTGGACTAAAGGTGTCAGATGTAAATTTATATCTCTAGCTAGCATATGCCTCATTATTTGATCATAAAGACTAAATTAACCACATAGAGGTACATTTTGTACAATTACAAAATTATGAGTACTTTCAGGGTCTGGTATAATCGTAACAAAATCTGTAGAATTTACTATGTTTACAGCTTATACAGTGTAATTATCTGAATTTGAAGATATTTGTAGATATAGGCTGAGGGTTAGTTTTTTTATTAAAATTTACTATAGAACCAAAGTGAAAAAATGCAATCACAATAACATCTCCCGGTGCTCTCTGGAATCATCAGGAAACCCTCTGGTTTGATGAGTAATGTTTTTCTTTTCACTGTCTTCACATTTTTTTTCATCTGACGGCCAAGATTCATTCCGCCTTTCAATTCTACGGCTATTAATTAACATGTGACGTGGCTCACTTTGGTAACCTATTGAGATTGCTTTTTCATATTTGGGGGTATTTCATATTTTATACATCGACATCAACTATCCAAATTGTTTTTGGGAGTAGCTATATTTATAGCATCATCCTTTTCACCAAAAAATAGTCGGCATGTATTTACATTGTAAGTCCCTAAATTACATATGTAATTTTAGTGTATTTACGATGTAAGTCTCAACATTATATATGTAAGTGGTGTGTAAGTGGGGTATAACTACTATGTAAATTTGTACCACTAATATATACTCCCTCCGTTTCAGGTTACAAAAATGTTTTGACTTTGGTCAAAGGCAAACTGCTTGAAGTTTGACCAAGTTTAATAAAAAATAATAATAATATTTTTGACCCAAGTTAAATTTATTATAAAAAATATATTTAATTATTAATTTAATAAAACTAATTTTGTAATATAAGTATTATTATATTTGTCTATAAACTTAGTTAAATTTGAAGCAGTTTAACTTTGACCAAAGTCAAAACATCTTATAATCTGAAACAGAGAGAGTACTAATTACATATTTACTCCCTTCGTCCCATTATAAGTGCAGCCATAAGTTTTTTGTGCCCAACGTTTAACCGTCCATCTTATTTGAAAAAAATATGAAAAAATTTAAAAAGTTAAGTCACGCATAAAGTACTATTTATAGTTTATCAAATGCCTGTGCGTTGCAATGGGTGAAGAATATTTTAATCCTATTATTGTTATATAATTTATTTAAGATGAAATTTACTGTGGGAGTCGCTTGGATATATAATTTTTTAGAAAGTCATGAGCTGCAGTTAGGAGTTCGATCGTCTCAAGTTAGCATGCGAGTTTTTTTAAACATATTTCTTATATGATTCCTTATGTATTACCAAAAGTGGATGATCTTAAGAACCGACTCAAATACAGATATGTATTTCCAAAAGCAAATGAACTTAAAAACTGCCTCATACACGGATGACGTACCAAAATACCGGTAAAAACATCTTTAATTTTTATAATAGTAGACATAACAATAAAAACACTAACCATAAAAATATTTCAAACAATACAGATGGTCAAAGTTGGACACTGAAACCCACAAGTACGCTTATTATGGGACGGAGGGAGTATACTTTAATTACATTTGACTTTTTACACCTAAAAGACCCTATTTTAATCGCTCATTGAAAGCGGCAGCAAACGCACTTTTAAACCACGTAAGCCTTGGATGAATCTCCTTAAGCCTAGGTAAATGTAGACTCAAATCTAACTTTAAACTCCTTTTCCAGGAGAGAACCTCAGGCTAAATTCCATTGAAAATTAGGTTATTTCTCTTCTTCCAAATATTCTAGGTAGCCAAAAACATAAGTTCCATGAAACAGAGATTAGAGAAAGAAAAGCACTCTGTGAAAGAAAAGCACTCTGTGATTGGATCATACGATGAAACTCCTGGGAAGTGCTCCAATTCCAACCCAGCACACTCCAACAACTGCATACTGAAACTGCGAGTAAAGAAAAGATGTTCCCTTGTTTCCCCTATATATTCTAAGAGCAGCAGGCGCAATAGACAGTTGCATTGTCAGGAACACAATGCTTTCTATATAGAAGATCTCTTGTATTAACTCTATCCATAAAGAAGAGCCAACCAAAGTCCTCGACTTCCTCCTCAAGTTCATGTTTGGCTTTCCATGCCCTCCTCGTCCATGTGCTCTAGGAGCTTCGCCACGATCGTACATGGTCGCACTATGAGAGGACTATTGTTGTCACCGAAGGGAGCACGTGGGACCCTTGTGGTCGGTCGAGGCATGTCACCTAGCTAGATAATCTGGTGGGAAAGCGTGGCAGTTCGACCTTGTGGGGGCGGTCGTCGCTGCTAACCTTGCCAACGAGCTTGGTGGCGCAAAGCAGGAGACGACGATGAGCGCTTAACAGCGTGGATCTGGTGGTAGGATGACCTCAAGCTTCTCTGCCCTTTATAGACGACGTATCGGACCTTGAGGTCGAGGGATCCAGCCGCCGCTGGTGATGGGCCAGATTGGGGTGGAGCAGCTCAATCAACCGCGAAGAAGCGTGGGCTCGAGACCTCGTCGGCGATGACCACCACAACAATGCGTCGGCAATGACCATGATGAGATCACCGCACGCACCCACCTCAAACTTAAGCTCAAACTGCACGAGAAGGCCACCAATGCCATGACAGTCCACATGCAAACGGGATCGAGAGGGAACCAGGAAAGAGAGAAGGAGAATCTTTACCTATTATAAAAATTGAATATGTTTTCGCTGCAGGGAAAAACTCTCGCGTCGCCCTCCCCAAGGGGCAGCACGGAAGGCATCGATCTCCGGCCGCCCCCTCCCCCCATCTTCCTCCTCCACCTCGACGCCGCTTGAGCGGCCGCCGGCAAAGCCGCGCGGCGGCAAGGACGGAGGCGGCGGGGCTCCTCGCTCGTTGACGTCGTCTCGTTGGGCAGCCGGGGGAGCAGCCCAGGGCGTGGCGACGGTGACAGGGGTGGCGACTGGCGATGGGGATAGAGATGGCGGCGAGGAAGGCGACGACGACGGCAGGGGCGCGGCTGGGTCGATGGCGGTGGGGACGGCGGAGGCTGGGACGACGGCGGCAGGGATGGCGGTGGCGGCAGAGGCGCCGGATCCGGCCGCGCTGGAGGCGGATCCGGCCCCCCCGGCGGCCGGATCGGGCGAGCTCGTGGCGGGGGCGGCGGAGCTCGCGACGACGTGGCGGCGGCAGCAAGGCGAGCTCGTGGTAGGGGCGCCCGTCGCGGCGGCGACGGCGGTCCGAGGCCCACGGCGGCAGTGACTTCCATCGGCAGGCACTTCTGGAGGTGCTGCTGTCGGCGGTGACTTCAATCCTCTCATTCTCAAACACACCCTAATTCCTTAGCAGGATCGATTTGGCCATCGTTTTGGTTTGAGACTAACTTGTACGACACAGGATGAGCATTACTAAAATTTTGGTATTAATGGGTTGGCCAAATTGTTTTGTGAGCAACGATTTTGATCGGCTTGCTTTGTGCATCAATCTAAACAAGCCCGTAAAACAAAAATATTTTATCATCAATTATCCTCTCTTCTCTTTCCCCATTCCCACCGACGGTCAAATAAAGTAATTAGCGTATGATTAATAAAGTATTAACTATTACCAATTTAAAAGATTGGCTTATTTAATTTTTTGAGAAGAAACTTCCTATTACATTGCCATAAAAATGTCACGGAAATCTATACTAATCCCTTCTTTTTATAAAGTTAAGACCAAAAGCTAAAATTTGGTGAAGCCATGTCATCATTTAATTATCAGCCGTTGAAATTGTCAGCCGTTGGATTACATCTAAGTGGTCCTCGTTGCATCCCTTCGCTGCCTCCGGCCTTCCGCACCATATCGCCTCCCCCTGGCCTCATCGACTATTTGCCTCCCGCTGCCTCACCGCATATTCGCCTCCCCCGACAGCAACAGCGACTACGGTGGCGACGGACTCTATCGATGGCGACAACGACGCGGCGGCGGTCGCGGACGAGCGCGGCGTCGGCGGCGGTCGCGGACGAGCGTGGCGTCAGCGGCGACGGTCGCGGACGAGCGCGGCGGCGACGGCGGCGGATGCGGACGAGCGCGGCGACGGCGGCGGCGGCGGCAGCGGACGCGGATGAGGGCGGCGGTGGCGGAGGTCGCGGTCGAGGGCGGCGGCGGACCACGCACGCGGAAGGTTCCCCTTCAGATTCCATCATTGAAGAAGCAGGTAGAGCAAGTGGGCACCTCTGCGACTCTTCCCTTCCCGTCAATATGGAGATCGAAGCCTGTTAATCCAATTTATTCTCCCTCTAAACGGCTTTCAATTCATCCTCTAGCTAGATAAACCACAAGAACCATCGTCCACGCTGGGAGGCAAGGCATCATCAGTCAAGCAGAAGCAATAGCTAGGTTGGCGCATGCCGTAGGCTGGGTTATCGACTTCCTGCCTGAGAAGAACTTTACGAAGCAAGAGCAAGGCATGAAGTGTGTTTTTCTTTGATTCATGTGCTCTTAACAGTGTTACTTACAGATCTATCAGGCTTTCAGGAAACATATATGCTCTTTATCCCACTAAGGTATAATATTTTCTTTTCTCTCTCCATCGATTGTGTATATAGATTCCACTGTTGGATAGCAGTCCCACGATGCATCTGCATGATGATTCATATAATTGGCTAACCAGTGTGCAGTTTTTATCAATGTGTAATTTACTGGATACTCAATTATGCAGATGCCATGCCCAGCAATTGTATAAGAACTGTAAGACTTGATCAATGTTTTTTTTAATGTATATGATTGGCATTGTGGTTTTCTGTAGGCTTCTGTCAGACTTGATCTGTTGAAACCAACCACAAATGTGCTACCCTTTTTTCCGGTCATGGTGCTGCTACCATATTCATATGCAAAAGAAGAAATACTCTGTTGCTTAAATAAGGAACGCTTTCTTTTTTCATATATAAGTAGTATTCATATTCTTCTATCTCATATTACAGTTTTGCTCATATGGAAATAGAGATAGTTAGATGAATAAATTTGAAGATCGTCATGGGCTCATTAATTCATTGTGGCCTTACTTTCAGGTTCTTACCTACCTTTCCCTCAGGCAAGTGTGCTACAAACTTTTTGGTGACAAAAGAGAGTTTATATATGTGGTCCGGGGCACATTTATTTTCTTTAGTGAACCAACTTTACACTGAGATTTATGCTACATGTCTTCCTTCACAGTAGAATTATTATCGGTTTTGATGTTTTTAGTACTTATAGAATGGACATCTCAATCAGAATGTTTCTTCCAAACTGACGAACAGAAGTTTTTTTTTTCATGGTGTTTGCTGGACTTACAGGTCAAATGCTATTTTATTTTTTGGAAGTCGATTGACAAACCGTGCATTCATCTCCGCTCATCTCCAAATGATAACATAAAATCTATTACGTAATTTGTTGTTTGATAACTTTAGAGTAGTGATAACTGGTATTTTTATTTTTCTCATGATGGGTTTATAATTTTACCTTTGAACAGTTCTTTGACTATGTGATTGTCTGGCCTAGGTGACGTTGGTGATGAGCTGTGAGCATACACTTCTATATCTTATTATTTTTAGTTCTAAAATTAATTATGCTGTACTATTCTTTGTTTTCAGAAATTGAATGGTTTGTCAGATTTTTATTCAAAAATATTATATTTTCTTTTCACAAATTGAACATAGAGTACCGTCTCACACGCTGCTCATCATGTTTTTTATACTTTAATGTACACACGAACTATATAGTTAATGCTATTTTTCTTCTTTCATTAAGCCATACCATTTTAATTATTTATAGCTCTATGGTCCACATTGTCCTTTGTGTCCCATCATCTTAGTTTTTTCCTTTAGACGATCAAGCAATATTTGATCTAAAATATCATAAAGCAAATCATCTCAATTGCTTATAGTTTTCTCGATGATTATAAAATATGCAATTATATGAAGCATACAAAATCGTGTCATTTAGTTGAAAGAACACATCTTCATCTTATATTTATTTTCTATGTTTATCATACGAAATTCCCGTAGCAATGCGCGGGGTTTCATCTAGTATAAAAAGGAGGAGTTGCCCCCCTCCAATCCCACATGCTAAATCACCCGGATCAATCCCTACCGTCCATCCGTATCTGCATCGCCATGATCTACGATCCCTACCGTCCAGTGTCCACCACGATTTCACCCTCTCCACCGCGCAAACACCGCGAGAAGACTACGCCTCCGCGCTACTCACTCCTCGCGTGTACGGCTCCGCTGCCTCACTCCACCGCTGCCCCTGCCAGAGCCGAGTTCTTCTCCAGCCGTCGTCGCCGCACTCCACCGCTGCCCCGCCGGAGCCGAGGTCTTCCCCAGCCGCCGCCGGAACCCGAGACCACCCTTGACGGCACAGAGGTCGTTCCAAGCCGCCACCGCACTCCACCGCAGCCTGCCCCCACCGGCACAATGGTGGTTCCATCTTCTGCCGGACCAGTGCCCGGGATTGCCCCCGACGGTGCCGAGGTCATTCCCAGCCGCTGCCGCACTCTACCACAGCCTGCCCCCACCAGCCACGAGGTGTGTCCCTACCGCTGTCAGTCTCCTTCTGCCGCAAATCACATCAGGATACCTCCGCAGCATGCCCCCGCCGGCGCAGAGGTGGTTCCCCCTTCCGCCGGAGCCACGCCCGGGACTTCCCCCTCCGAGGCCGAGGTGGTTCCTCCATCCACCGGAGGCTGGAGCTGCGTCTGGGCCTGCCCCTCCGGCGCCGAGGTGGTTCCCCGCCCACCTTTGCCTCCCACCTTTTTTTGCTATTTGTTCCCGAAAGTGCGTTATGCAGGTACTGTAGATGCTCGATAAAATGCTTACTCGATGGAACGACGCGACGGCAGGAGGTCACAACTAGGAGTTCAGCGGTTGTGGAGGGGCAATGATGTTGGATTTGGCAGTGCATAAGGCCCCAGATTAGTGTCTGCTCCCATATGGTTTGTAAATTGTAATTCGGATTCCAGGCAATCCATTGAGTTGTGCAGCGGCATTTCACTCTTCCAGTTGCAATTGACATTGTTATCTAGATTTTTGAGATTTTCATAAAACTCATCCAGGTCGCTTAAGTTGTGCTGCAGGCAAGCTTCCTGAATCCTGAGAGAATTTTGCACATGTATTGCACTTTCAGGTTTTATAAAAATCTCCACTGTGCCAAAAATGTAGCACCTACCTGGGTTCATCTTTATTTCTCTCACCAATATTGCAGTTCAGCATGCATAGACACAATGCAGGTCCCTATTCAGCTCAAATTGACATTCTGGACATTGGACCACCTCACCTCGCGCCGCGACATCACCACCGTTACTGCTACATACAAACTGCTGCATTCCCCTTTCTGTTGGATTGTAGCTGGTGGGGGAACATTGATTTGTTCTTTAGAAATTCAGTAAATAGGCATTTGTAAGTGTGGCATCCGATGGTTATATGCTATGGTCATTTTTCATTAAACGTTGACTCAACTTTGTGGTATGTTTTCAGTTTTGTTTAGCCATTAAACTTTGGAGGAACTACAGACTAAACTTGTAGATGCAGAGGCCATAATAGATTTGTAAGAGGCAATGGATTTTAGTATTCAGTAATCTTGATTTCAGGTAAATTAAATATCATTGCACAATCAAGAAATATATTTTGTTAATGTTTGCAATAACTTGAATGGTGGTAACCTTCTGTTTCAGCTTGTCAATTTGATGCGTGATTGGGTTTTCAGGGTCAGAGCAACAAGCGTGAATGCGTGATTGAGCGGATACACTACTGAGGTTCTTGAGAGTAAATATAATGTTGTATTTCTTCTTTCATAATTAACATTTTCACTAATATATTTCAGCAATTTACATGGTATGGATGTCCTTCTTTAGTATATTTACTTTTGTTAACTATATAAAATTACATATATGCCAAGTTGTTATATATTTTCAGAAAGCTTGCATTATTCAACGAGTTCAATGATAGGAGGCTAGATATATAGATTAAATTGAATGGAATTATATTTAACTATCTCTGGATGGTGCTTCATGCCTCCATGTGATGTTCATGTCATATTGCAGGTACTCATCATTGAGTTTCTTGGCAAGATCGATCATGGTGACATTTAGACTAAACCGACAGACATGGTTGTGTCAATAGCTCTTGTTTTACATGGACCTGTAATGCAAAAGGCCAAACTGAATTACCTTATTTTACACCAATATTTCAGGTTCGTTTCCTTTTTCTCTGAATCAACATGATCAATTCTTGGTTTGATTCTTTACATGAAATGTACATATGGTTTGGAAAGACCATACATGATTATCATACAATCAGACTAGCAAGACGTTGATCAGTTAGTTCTCATGAATACTGTCTCTTAATAATTCTCTTGTTGCTCAGATGTTTGCTGCATCTGTTCATCCATCTGCATGAGATGTTCATAAGTATTGTTCATTGCTTCTGTCGTGTTACAGACTTGATGGGGGTTCCCAATTCTTTGTTTTAAATTTTAAATCATTTTGAGCTTTCCGGATGTGCCAGAGCATGATTAGCATTTTCTGCAGAACAAGCATGTAGGCCAAAAATATCATGTATACTTTGCAAAGACATAAAGCAATATATTTTCATGTTAAAGTCAGAATTAGACCAAATCAGTCTACTAAAGTAGCAGTGGAGGAATAAATGCTTTTCATCTTCTTATTGCCCACATATCATATATGATGAGCTGATGGCACTTATCCTATCATTCCTATGATGAGGTTCTGTTCTGTTGGCAAAGCTCTCCTGCATGAGAAATCTCAAGCAAATGTGTGCACCCTAGGAGAAACAAATTTGTGTTTCCAAGTCTATATCAGAATATTAACAGTTAAAGTATTTACCTGGGTTTGTCGTGGATGCAGTTTGGTGAAGAGGAATGTTTCTAGCATAGCTTGTCTTCAGTGTCTTGCTGAACTATTTGTTCCTGCATGATAGCTTGCACAGCGGCACTGTTCAAAATTGAGAGAATTTTTTTGTTCATCCCTGTTTTTATTATGATCCCAAAGATCACCACATTGTCTGACATTTGAGATGGAAGAAAGATAACATTAAGATGATCATTTTGTATGTTGTCCCAAACTGAGCACAATGGCTGATTTCAGATAGAAACATCACCTATTGTCAGTTGCCAGGCTGAAGCATTAGAAGGGACTTGTCTTATTTTTAATATTGAAGCCCAACGGGTAGATCTTGGAAGATTATTTGGGGTTTTCCAAAAAGAAGTGTTTGAAAAATATTTTGATTTTAAGATTAGAGACATGAAGCTGTCTTGATCAGAGGCAATTCTCTAGGCAGTTTGGATTAAGATGCTTTGATAACCTGCCTGCAAATCTCTAATACCGAGGCAACCTTCAGAAATTGGCTCTATCTACAAATGCCATTCCAAGATTTAAGATGCATATACATTTCTCTCCTCCAACCTTTTGAATGCCAATCCATCAGAACTTTCTAACGACAGCTATGAGCTTTGAAATAAGGGTTTTGGAATGAAGAAATGTCAACACAGAATGGATGACATTTTCTGAGAGCTAACCTTCCAATACGACGTCTAGAGCATGTTCTATAAGGACTTATTGGTGGTCTGGTGGATGGCTTTCCAGTTGTACATTACAAACTAGGTTACTGAGCGCGTGATGTATATACTTATATCGTGAGCATTAATATGATGAAAAAATGTGTTATTTGAAACCTTCTAAACTTTTAATTTCACATATTCCAAACAATTTTACTTCCACCAGTGTATATACAAAATTTTTACGTGATATAAGCTAACATTTGGCTTTTCCACGATAGGCCCAAAATCAATAACAGTGTAATGTAATTTCCTTGAAATTGAATTTTCAAAATTATGCAATACGGTAGATTTGTATGTTAGTTGGAGGCAAGTATTTTGTGGAATTTATATTGGTCATGACGTATATTGCACGTACACGATTACTAGTATGAAAGAGTGGATCAGTTTTCCATTAGCCAAAAGTGATCGTGTACTAATTGGTGCAGCCAAGTTCCAAGAATGAAAAAAGAGACAAAAGTGGATATTTCAAGGAAGCGGAAATGGTAAACAATCCAAGCTACACTCTAGTACTACTTAGAGTAAGTACACAATAGCGGGCTATAAGCCAGCTGGAAATATATTTTAAGGAGATAAATGAGGAGAGAAAAGAGCAGCGGGCTACAGATTTGTAGTCAGCTGTAGCATGGACTCCAAGACATAATGTGTATATGACAGGTGGGACCAGATATTAATAGTGTAGTATATAACTATTGTATGAATGTGCTATTAGATTGGTTATAAATAAATTGGAGCTGGTAATTGGCTATACTGTTAGCTTGCTCTTAGTATGTTGCAAGGTGCATAGAAAGAAAGGAAGAAAGGAAAAAAATTAAATCGTTACAATACAGGCGTGCATATGCAGTCGGCTGGGTTGTTTTTTTTTTAAACTTAAACCTCCATTAATATAAAACGACAGAGTTCACTGGAATAAATCCCAGTACATTGCCAAACAGATAAAGAGAGCATAAAACCATCTGTTTCCAATGAACGGAAAACTGCACTAGGGCTACAATCTTCATATTGAAACCACACAACAGAGAAGTTGCACATCGACAGGGAGCTGCGATAATGCCGTGACGAATGCAACCTTGGGCCTCCTTCGGCGTGCAGCACGCTCGACAAACCGGCAATCCCCATCCGGTTGCCTCTACGAAGACTGCACAAAAACGGAGGTCTGCTGTTGAGCCATAGATTTTGGATTAAGCATAACCGGACTCAGCAAGAGATGTCCACAGAGTTCGTCATTAAATCTGAGGAGCGTGAGCTCAACCCGAACAACAAACCCTGCATGGAGCAAGCTGGTAGGAAACACATAGAAAGAAGGAGCCCACATCTAAATCCCCAAACCAACTGAATAACTCGATTGGTGGCAAACAGACTGTTGTCTTCTTGGATCGACTTACGGGGATGGGGAAGAGAAATCCTGTGAATCTTGACGGATGGAACCTTGGCATTGGAAGCTCTCGAACCGCCACCTCGTCGACGGGCTATCATCATGCACCACGAGCAGCAAGCTCCGGGCGACAGCAGATCCAGACGATGCAAGCCACGAGAAGTCACCGCACGCAACGCTAGGAACGGGGTGGCAACCTCCCGGCCGCAAACGACGATGCAGCCGCCGCCGCCGCCGCAAGGAGCCAGCTCCTTCCGTCGATTCATCCACAGGTCTTTGGATCTCGCACCTCCACCGCCACCAACTGCCGTCGCCGCCGACCACAACGGCACCCATGGAGACTCGTCGGCAAAAACACCAACTAAGGACAAACCCTAACTACAGGAAACACCTGACGACCTAAAAACAAATCTAACTATACAATACTAGTGGAGGGGAGGTGGCCGGACCCCTCCTCCAACCCTCGCCGGCGGCAAACCGCCAGAATCGAAGGGGAAGAGGGGCCCGAGGGGAGGGATTTTGGGAAGGGAACTGTAGAGAGATGAGCGGAACGAGAGAAGGGGAAAGCGCCTCCGGTTTGAATGTATATCGTGATGGACTGATGACTGGTTCCAGCCGGGTTGGGTAGAACCTGTGGTTGCATGTACTCGGCCGAAAACTGTGCCCAGTAGGAATCGGCGGGGTGGCCGGCAGTGATCAGGGGCTCAGCTGGGCCCAAGATCATCGGGCCGTCGGGCGCTACCACCGGAGTCGGGAGTCGAGTCGAGGTACCGTACGCCGCGCTGGACAGCACAGCAGACAGCACCCTAGCCTTTGACCGCGCGGATGGTGGCGGCGGCTTTAGCTCGTCGATCGACGAAACTCCCGGAGTCCCGGCCGGCCGCAGGCCGGCTACACCCAAACCCCAGCACGGCTGATCAGATTCGTCGATGGAGATGAGAAGATTGGTTTGGCTTGTGGCAGGGGCTAGCGACCAGCTCAGACTAGTCCTACAACTCTTTCGTGTTAGGATACAGTTGAGCAATGCAAACAAGATGAATTGGGAAAAAAAAGAGAAAAAGAATACTGCTAGTAGATATACTTTATTTATTCTGGACATCAGCAAATACAACTACTAATTAATTGCACGGAATGAAAATACTAGGTACAGTAAATTTTGGAGCATAAATACAACTGATACGCTGAGAAAACATGTTGAAATAGTAAATAGACAGATAGATCGAGCTACACGTACATTGATGTAATTAATATCTTATGAGCTAACATCTCACTAGACACTAGTTCTTCACGATCACGAGCCCATCCCCGTCTTCCTTGTCGGCCACCTCCTTGCTCTCCTTGCCATATCCAGCTCAATTTTGGCAATGTGCTGATCATCCAACACTTCTTCCGTACATGATCCTCTAGGCCAAATCATTATACACAGACGATCAAATGCTTCATCTCTTCTTCTAACCCCCAAACTCCAGTACAATTCATCTGCTTCCTTGCTGCCCCACCATTGCCCATTATTTTTATGAGAAATAAGCACAGCACAAGTTAATCTGCGCCAGTGAACTACTTCTTCTGCCACCTTATCGGGAAGACGGGTGCCTTTGGACCATCCTTGCCGTACCCACTCACGAATATTTCTTAACCGTACAGTTTCTGTCAACGTAACTACGACTGTCGCTAGTGCTTTTCCAAGAACTTTATTATCTATGGAGGGCTGGTAGTTTGATAAAGGGTCACTGGTGGAGAAACCATCTTTCGTCGGTCGGCCGATTTCCACAATAGTCCCGGATGCAATAAAAACCGGGGCTAAAGATGATCTTTAGTTCCGGTTCAAAAGGGTAACGGGCATATTTGATCTTTAGTCCCGGTTTGTGTTACCAACCGGGACTAAAGATCATCTTTAGTCCCGGCTCGAATGCTGTCAGGGCCTGTCAGGCACCCCCGGGATCTTTAGTCCCGGTTGGTATACGATCTTTAATCCCGGTTGGTGTTACCAACCGGGACTAAAGATCCCGGTGATCTTTAGCCCCGGTTGGTGCTACCAACCAGGACTAAAGTCCCACCCCTATATATATGTCTTTTTCCTCCTCCAGCTGCCCGAGCAAGCTTCAAAATTTCTTCAAAAAAGAGGGGAGGTCATGCCAAAATTTCTATTGAATTTATTTTGGTGATTACATACAAATCGGAGGTGCCTAAAAGGTTTGCAACTTCATCCTCCAATGTTTTTTTTGTCATACTACATTTGCACCTATGTTTTGCACACTTTTTTTGTCTCCAAAATTTAGTTGTAAGTTGATGAGAGAGAAAATGTGTGTGGGGAAGAAAGAATATATAGAAATTTAGTTCATTTGCTAAACAAGGTTTTATAAAATAGTTGAGAAGGAAAACTCTAGTGAAAGTTAATCTTAAATAATAGAAAACAAACTAAAATGAAAATTAAAAGAAGTAAAACACATTAAAATTAGTTTAAAACTTTACAAATAGTTTTTAAGAATTATTTGGTGTAATATTTTATGATTTTTGTATGAATAAAGATATCTTATAATTATTGTATGACTGTCATTATTGTAAGAATAATTATTTGTGTACGGTTTTTTTGACTCATGTAGATGGATCGGCAATGGATGTACGCTGACCGGCGGTCCAAAGAGTTTATTGACGGCGTGCACTATTTTTTGAGAGTGGCCGAAGCTAACAGGCAAAGGGGTTTTATTTGTTGTCCATGCAATAGGTGTAAGAATCAGAAGGAGTATTCTGCATCCAGGACTATTCATTTCCACTTGTTTGAGTCGGAGTTCATGCCAAGCTATAATTGTTGGACATCCCACGGAGAGCAAGGTGTTGAAATGGAAGAAGATGAAGTGGAAGACGACAATATTCCGAACTTTGCTCAGTATGTTGGATTTGAAGGAAATCAAACGGGCGAGGAGGAAATAGCTGCTGATGGTAACGACGTTGCGGATGATCTTGGTCAGATGTTGCAGGACGCCAGGGAGGACTGCGAAAGTGAAAAGGAGGCCCATAAATTGGACAAGATGTTGGAGGACCACAGAACTTCGTTGTACCCAGGTTGCGAGCAGGGGCACAAAAAGTTGGATACCACTATGGAGTTGTTGCAATGGAAGGCAAAAAATGGGGTTAGTGACAAGGCATTTGGCGATTTATTGAAACTCGTCAAGAACATTCTTCCGGGGGGAAACAAATTGCCCGAGACAACGTACGAGGCTAAGAAGATAGTCTGCCCGTTAGGACTGGAAGTTCATAAGATTCACGCATGTCCGAACGATTGTATCCTATATCGCGGTGAGGAGTATGAGAACCTAGAAGCATGCCCTGTTTGCAAAGCACTACGATACAAGATTAGACGGGACGATCCAGGAGAAGTTGACGGGCAGCTAACAAAGAAGAGAATTCCTGCTAAGGTGATGTGGTATTTCCCTATAATACCACGGCTAAGGCGTTTGTTCAGGAACAAGGGGAATGCTAGAATGTTGCGATGGCACGCTGAAGAGCGTCAACAGGACGGGATGCTGAGACACCCCGCCGATGGTTCGCAGTGGCGAAACATCGACAGAAAATTTAAAGAATTTGGAAAGGACGGACGAAACATACGGTTTGGTTTGAGTACGGATGGCATGAATCCTTTTGGAGAGATGAGCAACGGCCATAGCACTTGGCCCGTTACGATGTGTATCTACAACCTCCCCCCTGGCTATGCATGAAGAGGAAGTACATAATGATGCCGATTATTATTCAAGGCCCCAAGCAACCTGGTAACGACATCGACGTGTACCTAAGACCACTGGTCGAAGATCTTAAACAGTTGTGGAAGAAGGAAGGTGTCCCCGTGTGGGACGAGGACAAACAGGAGGAGTTTAACCTACGAGCGCTGCTGTTCGTAACCATCAACGATTGGCCTGCACTTAGCAACCTATCCGGACAGTCCAACAAGGGGTACAAGGCTTGCACTCACTGTATGGATGAAACAGAAAGTACGTATCTTAAGCACTGTAGGAAGAGTTTTTCACAATTTAATTTACTATCTTTCATATGCTACTTATATATGACTATTCGAATTTTTAAAAGGTTTAAATCATGCATGTGGCATTTACATATGTTAATTAGAGTTTTTAGCATTTAATTTAATATAATTCCTACGCTAAGTACATATGATGATTACAATTTTTATTAATTTTAAATCATGCAGTATGTACATACATATCTTAATTAGAGTTTTTACCAATATAATAATATCATTCATATATATGCTAAGTATATATGATTATTGGAATTTTTATTAATTATATTTGCTTATTACGATTTATCCACTTAATTTATCACAGACAAAAATAATTTTTCGAAGTAATTGTCATTAATCTTTGTACTTTAAATAATGTTAATGCATTAACTTCTATTTTATAAACACATATGTAAGCGAAAATCATATGCAGTGCTATAATCTTTAGTCCCGGTTCTTAACCCTAACCGGGTTTAAAAAGAATTTCGAAATAGCGGGAAAAGATATTTACTCCCGGTTGTTGAGAACAACCGGGAGTAAAGATCCGGGGGTATATATATTCCCGGTGCGCCCTCGTCTTCTTCACCAACACTTAGACGTTTTCGGCCGATCGATCTCTCTCGGCCTCTCTCCTTCACCGCCACTGCCTAGGGCAAATCCCCGCGCCGACGCTGCCGTATCTCGCCGTCATCTCGAGCTCGTCGTCCTCGCCGCCGCCTCCGCTGCCGCCGCATCTCTGGGGTGAGAGCCGCCGCCGCCAAATCTCCCTTCATGCATCTCGATCTCTCCGATCTCGATCTCTCTCCGTCGCGCCGCCCGCCACGAGACGCCGCGCCACGACGACGACGCGCCACGACGACGACGCGCCACGCCGCCGCCTTCGCCGCATGCCAACGCCACGCCGCCGCCGCCGTCGCCACGCCGCCGCGCGCGCAATGCCGCCGCCGCCACGCCACGCCGCCGCCGCCACGGCCCCGCAACGCCACGCCGCCGCGCCAACCGCCGCCCCGATGCCGCCACACCGCCGTTAACGAACGAGAACGAGAACGATCGAACGAACGAGAGCGAGAACGAACACGTCAACGTACGTTGCCGCGAGAACGTGAACGAGAACGAGAACGATCGAACGAACGAGAGCGAGAACGAACACGTCAACGTACGTTGCCGCGAGAACGTGAACGAGAACGAGAACAATCGA